AGGACGGCGTATAGAAGCTTCTGAATTTGGGGTAGCGGGTTTTAGAGTCGGATAGTACCTCGCTGATGAAGTACACAGGGCGCTGCACCTTGAGGACGTGCCCCTCTTCCTCCCGCTTTACTACCAGGGCGGCGCTGATCACTTGCGTGGTGGTCACTATGTATAGTAGGAGGGATTCTCCGTTGCTTAGAGGAACTAGGATCGGGGCCCTTGTGTTGGACGACAGGTGTTCCAACCACGATCGTGCCGAATCGACCAAGAACAGTGGAAGGTTGCGGATAATGAAGTCGTCATTATCCGCACCACCGGCTTGACAGGCAAGCCGATAGTCTTCGAGGCAAAATCCGAGGTTTGTCTCCCCAGAGTACTTAGGGATATTGGTAGGTGGTCGGTACCTTGGCGGGAAAGCAGCATTGAGGATGTGCCGGCTGAAGGCCTGAGGGCCTGGCAGGCCGGGGCTCGGGCTCCGGTCCTCGCCGTTGTCGTAGCGTCCGCCGCGACGAGGATGATAGCCGCGGCGGGCTCCTCTTGGGTCGCTGTAGGTGCGTCTGCGGGCGTTGAGAGTGTTGTGTGCGTCACGGTTGTGGCCGAGACATTGATGTATCGGGATCGTAGCGCGTTGCCTGCCGCCTTGTGGTGCTTGGTGGATTGATGCGTCCCTGGCAGGGCGCACCGAGGGCGTACGCTGGCTGGTGTCGAACTCGCGTCACCGAGACAACGAGCTCTTCGCCTGCTGCGCCGCCGCTCGCTCAAGTAGCGTGCGAATTTCGTGGTGGGCCCGATGATCCTCGGGCATTGCGGCCTCTGGAAGGCCATGGAGCATGGCCATTGCGGCGGCGATGTTCTGGCTTGCCCGAGCGAAGTGAGGAAGGGTTTCATCGTCGGCGATGATCCTTCGGTTTACGTCACTGGCCACGGCGCGTGCGCGCCCACTATTTCCGCGGCGTTCGATCTCCCGATCGACCTCCGCGTATTCCCGCACAAGCTATTGTCCGGCTTCATCGATCTCCCGATTTCGGGCTCTCAGCTGCTCCACCCCTACGCGAGGTGGGGCCGCTGTCACCCCTTCGGTTTCACCGCCGAGGTTGCCTACCGGGGTAGCCTCCTCCGCGGAGACACTTTCGACGTGTCCCTCGGGGGTACCCGCCATGAAACATTCCCGAGAGGGGTGATGGCTCTACCTGCTGGAGTCAGAGCCAGAGTCCGACCCCGGCCTCTCCGCGAGGAGGCCGTGGAGGGATTCCGTGACGCTTTCGATCATCCCCACGAACTCGTTGTTCGCGGGGAACGGGATCGTGCGCTGTGCCACAAGGTGGCTAACGGTCGCCGCGGCATTGCGGAGACCGAACGGAAGCGCCGTCGGGGCGTTCCATGCAGAGTGTTCCGGAGAGAGGGTGAGGCGGCGCGGGTCCTCCCTAGACGGCTAGGGTCCAAGGGAGACGTCGGGCTGGCGCTCAAGCCTCCCGTAGTTGAAGCCGATGGAGAGAGATTGGATGGCGGCGTGGGCCAATGCCAACTCTCCTCCCACCGTGACGATGAAGTCCAGGTCACCGAAACGCACGTGCGCGTCCGGGACCCAGCTGATTGCGTGGCTAGCCATCCGAAGCCTGATTTGGAACACGCAAAGGCCCCTACCTGACGCGCCAACTGTCGGTGTTTCGAACAAACATCAACTAGTAAATTTATATTTGTTGCGCGTTAGACTCGGATGGTGTACTAAAGGACACAAGGTTTATACTGGTTCGGACAGAACGTCCCTACGTCCAGTTTGCTGCTACTCGTTTTATTAGTACCGAAAAAGGTTCGTAGTAGGGGGTACAAGTTGTCGAAAGAGGGACAGGTCCCAAGTCTCTGATGAAAAGGTCGAAAGGATGCCAAGAGCTCGGTCGCCGCTTGGCTGTGTGTTGTGTGTGGAATTGATCCGTCCCCTTAGTGGGGGTGCCCTGCCCTCCCTTTTAAAGACCAAGGGGGAGCAGGGATTACATATGGGAGAAAGAGGAAAAAAACAAAGGTAGAGATGGTCCTTCGAAGGTCTTCCTTTTCCCTTGAGCCTGCCCTGCTGTTATGGCAGACCACGCCAGGGATAGCATGCTTCGCTGATCCTGATAGGGCCAGGCTCTGGCTTCGTTTCAGCGAGTGGTCACATCCCATCCTCCCCCGGCGGACGGTGCGGTGTGTCTGGGTGCCGAGCCATGACTCTGCGGGGAGTAGACGGGGAAGTGACTAATCGCCTGTTACTCTTGATGACGTGAGTTCTCTCTTGGACTGTAGTGGTTGTCGTATGCCTGTGTTAGTATCCACGCCCGAGGGCTGATGGCGGCGCCTACAACACTGTAGGACAAAAGTCGACGCCTACAACACTGTTCGGGCTCTGTTAGGACGGAAAGGGCTTAAAGCGCCCGTCCCGTCGTATCCTGACGGTACCTTCCTGCAGGCGTGCAGGGCATGGTCCTCGGTACTGCGGTTGACTCGAATGTCCTGTCGTACCTTGTGCTCGTCATTATGAAGGGGCAGAGCGTAGCCGTCGGGCGAGGCGGAGCCAGCCCTCGGACGTCGGGCGAGGCGGAGTCAGCCCTCAGCCGTCGGGCGAGGCGGAGCCTGCCCTCAGCCGTCGAGCGAGGCAGAGTCTAGCCCTTGGGGGTCGGACGAGGCGGAACCAATCTTCCGTCGTTCAGGCAAGAAGTGTAGTAGCGTTCTTGTCTGACCGAAAGCGTCAACGTTCGATGGTTATTAATTCCACCTCATTTGGTACCCCGGTATTAGGTCCCCGACACTGTTCCTCTTATGCATTTACTAAACATAGTAGCAAGCCTTTCATTTGCTATCACTGAGGTGACCGTCACCGACACCAGCATTGCTGCTGCAGCAGCCCTAGCCATTGGCGCAGCGGCCAGTGACGTCGCTGTTGTCACGCCGACCAAGTGTTCAAAGGAATTTCCGGGCACTGACATTGACATTCTGGCTTCCATGTAGGCTGCAGAAGCTACGCTAACACCATCTCCAACATCTACACTGCTCGCCGTCTCCATTCCAAGCCTTAGGACCTCAAGCTCAACTTTGCTAGCCATGACACCCACCATGGGCTCAATGAAATGGCCAAGGGTCATGCATCACTGGCCTGAAGACGTTAGGGAACATTTCCAAGGTTGTTCCACCTTCATTCTGGACTACCATGGCACTGGATATAAACATGTTTTCAAGAGAGCACTCACTTGATGGCTGCAAGTTCTGCGTCCGCAAGCTGTTGAGCCATTGTCAGCATATGCTGCTGGACAGGAGCAAGGAGCAAGGAGCAAAGCGGCCTAGAGAGGACAGTTGTTCTATGGCTATCATTGCATACACTCATGAAGATTGCTAATGGTAGTGATAAGATTCAGCCAATGCCATGGCCGTCCTCCTTTTTTTTTTGAAAGATCCAGTTCCTGGCTTTGATTTATCATAAGAGTCAGCATACAGCTGTTACATGCGCGAGGGGCGCAAAACCAGCCACAGCCTAGGCTGTGGAGGGGTTTAAAGCTACATTAGGCTACTACCATGGCCGTCCTTCAATGTTCCTCATTTGGTTACAGCATGGAGCAGTTCTATTTTGCTTAGGAAACCTCCAGTTCATCGAGATCTCATGTGTGCATGCTGAAACTGTAGAAAATTGGAAACGCAAGATGGTGATAAAAGTGTGTTCCATTGTGCTGATTCGATAAGGCCATGTGGTGGTATGTTTGGACTTGCTTGGCATAAGGGTATGCAGTGGTTATTTTGCAAACTTGTGTATTCTATCCAAAGGATTGCTGCAGTTGATTCTATGGTCACTACCACATGAACATATTTCTAGCATCTGTGAAATTTGATTGGACAGTTTTAACAGTTTTGGTTGGAGCTTTCACTCTGTGCTGTCCTGTCCTTGAATAAATGCTCAGTTGCTTCATTGGAGTGCATTTTCATCAAGCTAACCAGTGAGCAGATGGCGTGCTGGGTTGTGGAACTAATAGAAATGCAGCCTGTGCTAATTTGCTGAGAAACTACAACTTGGGTGCAGCTTTCACTAGAGAGGATGGAACGCATCATGAGGGCTTTGACAATAAGCATTCTGTGAGTGCTCAATGGCCTAAACTTCCTGTAGTTTGGCAGCAGAAGCATGATGATGGATTGTCAGCTAGAAGAGTTGAGATATTTCAGTTCAAATCATTGTTGACCGATGTTTTTGGACATACAGGCTTTGCTTCTGCAGTTGATAACTAGCTGTACTCCATTGTTTATTTGAGCTGCTAGAAATTGGATGGTTAAGAGTTCGTTTCTGTTTATGACCAATATTGCAACAGCAAAAGTTGCACTGTTGCATGATGGAGATAATTTGTTTGAGGTGGCATTGATAACACAAGTCAAAGTAACAGTCCAATTGTACAAATACAAGAGGCGCAAGAAGAGTATTGTGTGCAATCTTCCTTCAACATATATTGATAAGTTTGCAGCACATGCAGACAATAGTGTTTGCATTCAGTAGGGACAGGCTTTTAGGTGCTTCCAGTGGTAAAAACACCATGCAGAATTATTTGTAAGCTTCCTCTTGTTGGCAGTGGGATTCATGCCATGCTTACATATTGTACGAGGAAAGTACAAGAGCAATGGTATCCAGGAGATATGCAGATGCATGGTGGTTTGTCCTGGCATGTGTTTGAAATGCACTACAAGATTGAGAGGGTGATTTCTGTTGGCAGTGGCATGAGAATGACACAGGAAGAGAATGAAGTGATTCTTGAGTTGCTGTCTCCCAACAAGATTGTAGTATGTCAACACAAGTTATAATAAAGTGGTCCTTTCTGCAGGCTTTTCTACCTTTAGAAAGTTTCAGACTTGTGCACCTAAATCTAATCACACTAATTCATAGTCAAGCTCTGAACATTGGCAGCAGCATGCGCAAATTGGCTAAGCATCCACTTTTAGTCCATCTCAGAGGAGCAACTACATCAGAATAGTCTGGGGGCAACCATGAAGATAAAGGTCTGTCAATGTACAACAAAGGAGTTGCCTGAGCTGCAGGGAATTGAGTGTGGAACAACTGAAAAAGACAAATGGAACAAGGTCAAGTCATAGCACTGAAGAATCACAAGTGCCATGGGATACCGGTGGTTTGACATTTTTGCATCTGACTTGAGGGCAAGTCAAATTTTATGGAGGGGAGAATGTGAGGAATCATCCAAGGTATGAGCTGGAGTTGCGCCATGGGCCATGTTGCCTACTGGCCCAAGCAGCTGAAGGGCAACACCACAAGAAGAGCAGCTGCATCAGAAAGGAGAACTCAATGAATTGAATTCAGAGACATGTCCTGTTCATCTTCCTCTTCCGTTTCCTCTCCCTCTAGCCCTTCTCCCTACGTCTAGAGCTATCGTCCTTCCCCAATTCCGATTCTCCATTCCTCCATCCAAATTGCTTGCTAAACTCGAGACATCCCTCTTCCAAGAGGTTGTGTAATCCAGTTTGTACCCAAACTGTTATGTCATTAATGGAGGGGTGCGCTAGCACATAAGTCCCAATCTCAGATCAAAATTAATCACAGGTTGAATTGGTTAAAGGAGAAAGGAAGGGATGAAACGTACCATTCTTGGCCTGCAGCAAGCTTCTCCCTGTAGATCCGGCGCTCAGCTGGAAGACGCTATCTGCTCATGCAGAGCAAACAGAACCAGCCCATCAGCTACGAAACCGGAAAGCGAAACAGACAGCAAGAAACACCGGAGCAAAGAAGTCGTACCGGACAGGAAAGGACCATTCGCCGCAGAGGTGAGCCCAGCCACCACGGCGGCCGAGAAGAAGAGGGCCAAGAGCCCACGCCCGGCCATCGCCATGCGCCCTCCCACAGCAAGCAAGAACTCGCCGCTGCTGCTGCTGAGACGCCGGGATGGCTGGCCTCGAGGAAATGGAGCTCGTGAGGCTGTCGGATCTAGGACGACGACGGCAGCGGCGGTGGCGGTGGGACGCGGGATGCAGAGGCCGCCCACATGCGCGCCACGACGTCTTCGCTGGTGGTGTTTGCAAGCTGCCAAGCTCTAGCCTCCTCGCAGCTGGAATTAATTAGCGTCGCGGGGTGGTGGAGTGGAGGAGCTGCACGGGGTAGCTTGGAGAAGCCAGAGCCAGACAGCCGAGAGACTCGACGCGGTTTGTTTGGTGATTCTTTCCTCTGTTCCCGCTACGTGACGGTGGCGAGGTTGGCAGTGGACGCTAGCTGTAGCTGGGCTGGAGGGAGACAGCTTGCGAATGAATAGTGTTTTTTCTCTCCGAAATAAATCAGCAGTCGAAAATATTATTCGCTGATTTATTGTTAGTGAAAAAGATTCGTTCGCTGAAATAGTACGGCTCGTAAAACAAGTGAACAGGGCCAGTGACGAGGATCACGGATGATCAAATCAAAGACGGTGATTAAGATTAGGTGTCATTTTTCATTTCAAATTATCGTTTTGTTTTTAATAATAGTTTTAACTATATATATTTAGACATAGTATATTTATAGGTCTATGTATGCACATTCTCTCCATCTGTTACTAATTTATTTTATTTTATTTTATTTTCTCATCCCTCTCGACATCCTCTCTACTCTATATACATGTCCTCTCTCAAATACACATTTGCTGACACTCTCTCCCAATCTCCTCCTCCCTCCTCCCCAACCGGTTGACCGGTAGTAGTGTCCTCCCACCTCGTTAGGCGGCTAAGCTCAATGGTGGGGACGTCAACCAGGAAAACCAAACTGCGATAGACTCTGGCAATTGACCGTATCGTGTCCCTCAGGATCGACTCCATTGGAGGCTGACTTGACATTGGACGACACTCCAACGACCAACGTGCGGGCGACATGTTCTCACGTGCTCGGGTAGGAGTGACTAGGTAGTTGGGATTGGTGCAAAGCATTACAGGAGGTCCATCTTTCCCTCTGTTTTAGGGACTTATCACCAATTAATAGTAATGGGAAAGAGCTATTATTCTAGCAAGAATTTTAAGCCAACTTTCTCAATGCAAGTTTTTTTTTAGAGAAGGGGTCTGCTCAAGATGCTCTAAAACGGTTTCCAGATGAAAATAGCTGGCGAGATTAGGGAAAGTAGTGAAGGTTTAATTCCCACCTTGTGTTGAGCAGATTGACTCGAGATTTGCACTTAAGATTGACGCGGTAACCAGTCTTTGTGTGGAGTAAATAATATATATAACTCCTTGTACCCGGTAAAGAAGAGGGCAAGAGACAAAAAGATAATTGCAAAATGGTGGATTAATTCTGTCTGTAGTGGAAAACGGACTTGTTGCTGTTGGTAATACCCTGGATAAGCGGGCAAGGAAAACTACACGAATGGGTGGAGCCTATCCGTGAACTTCTCGCGTCATTGACAGTTTCAAAAGGTTTGCAATTGGACCTTCTGCGACTCTTTCTTCGCGGGCATGTGCGCTGCTCCCATTCGTCCTCTCCGCGCAGCTGGACCTTCAGCGACTCTTTCTTCTTCTAACAGAAAACGACCTTCGGCAAATGGCTGTGGTCTAGTTGACAGCTCAGTTCCATGCGTCTTCAATTGGCAGACAGCTCGAGTCATGATGTCGACGAACATCATTCATCATCAACCATCATGCTACAGAGTCTAAAAATGCAAGCATGCAAGGACTTTGACCGTTAGACGTGAATACGTTGAAACAACGGCCTTGTTTAGATTGTAAATTTTTATAATCCGGACACTTTAGCACGTTTCGTTTGTATTTGATAAACTTTGTCCGATCATGAACTAACTAGGCTCAAAAGATTCGTCTCGTGATTTACAACCAAACTATGCAATTAATTATTTTTTTTATCTACATTTAATACTCCATGTATGTGTCCAAAAATTGATGTGATGGAGAGAGAGTGAAAAAACTTAAAATTTTGATAGGATCTAATCAAGGCCAACGTGTTCACCAATAGATTTTGGTTAGTTGCAAGGACTTTGACCGTTTGACCGTTAGCTCGAGTCATACAGTATCTACCAAGCAAAAAATGGATTGAATTATGGGTGAAACTAACTGTTTAAATAATAATAATAAAAATGCACGGAGCATTGAGATACATACATCAGATCAGGAGGCTCAGCGCTTAGAGGAGCATAACACAGAATTACTTTAGCTCTATAGATTGGGCAGTGTCTGGTGATTTTCCAGGACGCTGTTCATGACTATCACTTCAGTTTATCACAGGTGAGCTATCTGTTGTTATTGAGGCTAACATGCCATGGCACTCATCTCTATAGTAGACTGGGAAAGATAATCGGCAAAAGGCGGCCATGTACAAAGCAATGTAGTTCAAGTCTCTGTCAGGCAGCAGACATTAGTAAATCGCCATTTTTTTCTCTTGTTTCTGTACATTGCAGGTAAGTGTATTATGTACAAAATTTCCTCCGCTGCACCAAAAAAATGAAAAAAAAAAGTTAGCATGCACAAGTGTGACTATTACAAGATACATGATGATTCCAAATTCATATATTCTATAATATCAGTATATCTGAGGCAGAAATAGCTTGAATGTGTCACTTTCAGACATCAGGGCACTATCCATGCCAACCTGAACTGGATATTATGGATCCAAAGACAGACACTCAATGGATAGTGTACTAACAATTGCATGATGTCATACTTACCCTAAGATCAGGCTCTGTTACAGCTTCCAAGGTTTCTGCCATCTGCATTTGTTTGATAACTGTTGCATGCAATACCTGGAAGAACAGAACAAAAAAAAAGACCACGTAACTATGTAGTATATTATTTGAAAAAAATTGACAAAAATGAGAACAAAGGAAAATAAGTTTATCAGATCTAATGAATAATAACTAGTATTATTGAATAATGAAAATAAGTTAACCGGTTAAATCAAGAACAAATATCAAACAGATATTAGATGACCAGAAAATGGCTTTATTAATTAAATCAAGAACAGATTATTAACAGTATCTGATGAATAATAACTACTCGGTATGCACATTGTGCCATAGCAAAAACCTACCACATAATACATTACACACTGAAGGGCAGGCCTGGTGCAGTGGTGAGAGCTGTCTCACTGAGTCACCAGGTCACGGGTTCGAAGCAGCCTCGCCGCAGATTTTGCGGGGGGAAGGCTTGCCTCGGTTTTTCCCTTCCCCAGACCCCACTCATGTGGGAGCCTCCGGCACTGGGTCTGCCCTTTTTTTTATAATACATTACACACTCTGGCAGTCTGGACAATAGCAGGACTTTATGAAATATACACAGTGGAGACTCGAGATCATCAGAAGATGTGTTTTAAGAGGTATCAATCAAATATAGACCTGTGGGTTCCCACAAAGTTGTCCTAAAGATATATCCACCCGGGAACAGTAAAGGGATTACCCAACAAAATCAAAAACTTACATCAGATGGTCCCTGTAGTTGTTTTTGAACAATGAGCGGCAATGTTTTGGCCTTTAATGTGAAATTTTAACATCACAAACTTGCCAATTTTAAATAAATTAGTAAAACCAACTTTCGTATATAAGTTCAACTCGCATAGCCTGAGAGTGAACAAAGATTTTGTTTAGTAAAAAGAAGTGATATAAAAGGTACCATGGCGCTCGAGCCATAAAGGCGAAAGCCCAAAGCAATTCTAAGCAGCATGAGATCCATAAAACATTGTTTGGCAGGTACCTTCTTTGTCTTCTCCAGATCAAACTCAATGGACTTTATCCTGTTAAAAGAATCTTGTATGGCCCGATCCTTGTCCTGTGGAAGCTGTGGAGGCTTTCTGCTCAGCTGATTAAACATTGACTCAAGTCGATCAAGACGCTCCAGGCAAGGATTTACACGATCTTCCTTAATTGTCTGAAGATCTGCCAGATTACTGGGTGCAGTTGCAGTACGTGAATGAACGTTTTCCAAGTGTTGTCGCCGACGAATGAAGAACCGCAAAAATGATAGTACTTTAAGAAATACAGCAACGACTCTTCTTGATATATATTTCAAGAACCCATCATCATTGCCTACACCATCATTTGGGGCACGCCGACCTGCTGATTTGAACCCATATTTAAGCATGAGACAAGCTGGACATCTAGGTGAGACAACTGATTTGAAGAAATTATGGTGTATAACAAATTCTTTATAAAGCTTAACCAAATAATGTAGAAGTTTAAATGGATACCTGGTGCAGGTAAACCCCCATTTATCAGGGAACCTTGTTCTGTATTGAACTGCCTAATTTCATTTCCAGTAGAGTTGTATCTCCTGTTGGATCCTACAGCTTTATCCGCCATATGAGACATGCCAATCGAACCACTGTACGTTGTAGATCCAGATTCCCTCGCCTACAGGGTAACGACTCAGAGATGAATAAACTACAAAGTTATAAAACATGCCAACATGGTGGCATGCGGCTAAAAGAAACAGAACACCTATTTTCTAATGAAAGCCTAAATATGCAAGTTCGAATCTTCATAGTTCCAAGATAGACACACTGATACACGAGAAAAATAATGAGAGTTCTCAAAAAAAAAAAAGCAGAACTTAGTAAGACTTTACTTCCTCTCGAACTGGGGCCAAACTAGGATATTCAACATCTTCAGGAGCCACAGGGGATCCAACATCATCAACATCTGAACCTGATTCAGCATTTGATGTGTCACTAATTCGTTCTGGTAACTGAAAGAAGAAAGAGCAGCACATCCAATGTCAAAATTGGAGAACAGAATGGCTTATTCAGCACATGAGACATCAAAATCAGTAAACTTACCTTGAGAGCACGCAATCTCACGGAGCCTGTAACTGTTTCTTCTATATCAGATACTTGCCCAACTTCCTTCAACGACTCCATGCTATGTACAAGCTACAATAGAAAAATAAGGTCATCACCAGCAGCAACAGCAATGACAACCAACAGATAAGTTAAATATACTGATGTACCATAAAAAAATAGTAACCAACAGCTAAAAGGCAAGTTTTATAGGACGGCGATTAGACCTGCTATGTTGTATGGTGCAGAATGTTGGCCTACGAAGAGACGACATGTTCAACAGATAAGTGTCGCGGAAATGCGTATGTTGCGTTGGATTTGCGGTCATACAAGAAGGGATCGAGTTCGGAACGATGATATACGTGATAGATTAGGGGTAGCACCAATTGAAGAAAAGATTGTCCAACACCGGTTGAGATGGTTTGGACATGTCCAACGGAGACCTCCAGAGGCACCGGTGCGTAGTGGAATCCTAAGCCAGGATAGTAACGTGAAGAGAGACAGAGGAAGACCGAAGTTGACTTGGATAGAGGCAATAAAAGGAGACTTGAAAGGATGGAATATACCCAAAGACTTAGCCTTAGATAGGAGTGCTTGGAAAACAGCTATTCATGTGCCTGAACCTTGATTGCTTCTGCTGGGTTTCAACTCTAGCCTACCCCAACTTGTTTGGGAAGGCTTTGTTGTTGTTGTTGTTGTTGTACCATAAAAAATAGTAGACTACAATACAGTAAGAAGGCATCAGTCATAAATTTACCTTCATGATTGAAGGATCGCTCCAGGGACCTTTGTTAGACCTCAGGCACCCTCCGTGGTTAGAACACGAACATGAACCACCAAAGTACTCTGGCAATTGGCTGAAGATACATTTTGCTTAAGATTTGCACATAGGTTCACCAATAAAATAATCTTTGGAGAAACAACCACCAACCTTGCATCAATAGCTTCAAGAAGTCTGCTTTGATATTTTGTTCCTAGAACCTGAAATCAAAGAGTAGGTATGAAGCCATACAAAGATCAAAACATGGATAATCAATTGGGAAGGGCTGAAAAATCACTACATGTATTTTAGATGACGTTTTGGGGTCAAGAAGTCCCTTAACAGTGCTCCATATCAGCTTGAAACCTGGTCCCGCATTTACAATAAACATTTGATGTAGTGTCTGCATAATTTATGACATGCTTGGTAATCAGAATGGTTTCAAACCAAGCTACATTCAATCATCTCTATACTAAGGCCAACCTCAGGATAATAGTCACCATCTATTTTTTGCATACAACGCACCAAATCCCTCGCAATCTTGCTAAAGTTCTTCCAGCCCTATATCACAGGGAGCAGGAAAAGGAAAGTCATATTAGATATCTGAGATTTTTCAAACTACATCGTGCTTACAGAAACCAAATGAAGTAACAAAGATAAAATACAATTATGCCTGCATCAGTAGTTCAGAGGACCTTAAACCTCTGCAGCTCTATCGATGGTTCTTTTTTGGATCAGTGGATTTATATCCAAGCATTTGGAAAAAGTAAACAAAGTATCAGAACAAAATCCACTGCATAAGTTTTTCTAAAAGGAGTAGGTTTGATTTAGATATCTAGTTGAAGTAGCACGCAGAGATGGCAAAACAACAAGAGTTGGTCCTTTTTCTCTAAAAGGGTCAATTTTGCCAGAAACATTAACACATCCTAAATCCTAATCAATCAAATTACAGGGATGTTTTAAACAATATCTTAGTTATGGAGACTTCTGGTAATTGCAAATTTAACCAAAGTTTGCATGTTTATCTTGGCAAACTATCTGGCAAAAGTAATGTTCTAATCCTGATATCTGAACTATAAGATACATCTGGCAAGAATAACAAAGATGTTAAGAATAAGATTCTTGCAAATGAATTTATAGGGATGATGTTGCAGAGGAAAGCAGGGAATGCTCTTCTCTTTAATTTTATTGTGTTTATCTCTTTCGAGAATCAAGATAAGTAGTGGAGTTAATAAAACAATTTAGACAATGAACGTACCACACCGTGGACATCCAATATCGTAGTTGTAGTATCTATATGCCTTTTGGCAGAAATTGAGCATGCAGGGAATTTCTCCCGGAAAGCTCTCTCAAACTCTTGTACATGATACTTAATATAGCGCTCAACAGTCGTAATTTGTACAAGATTGTTGGGTTCAACTTTCCCAAGCAACTCAATGTAGACAGGCCTTCCTTCCTTGTCAACCCCATGGTAACCATGAGGATAATATTGCAGGACCTCCTCTAGCTCATGAAATTCAAAATCCTTCAATGAGTCAAGTTAGCTACTGTTAGTATGCATGACATAGTTTTGCAGAATCATATGATGAACAATCTTAGAAGTCATACAGTGCATGTAAAAACATCTATATATCAGTAGAGTTTCATATAAATTTTTTAGATCAACTTTTTAGAATAGACAACATCCTACTTCAAAAATGGTGTCTGTACCAAACTCCTTTCTCCACTGCAGCATGTCCGCCCACATCTGTGCTGCTTTTTCAAAATCGAACTTCCTCGCCTTCAAAAATCTACAGCACAGAACTGAAAATCACCAACTGACATTGTATAGCTGAAAATAACAAATATGAGCATATTTCCTCAGGTCTCAACCTAAGCATCATATGATAATCATCATGCTTGACTGGTAACAAGCCCCTAGCAAACAAAACCTCCCGAAACGAGCTCACCGCCTGCTCTTCTTCAGCATCCCTGACATCCTCTATAGCTATCCTTGGCACTCTGCAGTCCACTTTTCTCTTCCCCCTCTTCTTCAGAGAGTGTGTCAGCCTTGTAGATGCGTGCAGGGCTTTCTTCCTCAGAGACCGCATCCTGGTGTGCCTCGGCTCGTCCTCCGAGATCTCGGCATCGGCCCTATTCCTCCTCTCATCATTACTGGCAGATATCTCGATGCTATCCACATTACCCTCTGCAACAGAGCATGGCAAACCCCAGAACATTAGCTGCATTGCATGACCGACTCATTAAAACTGCATACATATAGCTACGACAACGAGCACCTGGCCATACCTGACATTCTCTACAAAAGCAGCTCAAATGATCAGGCCCTCCCGCTTTGTATTACTCCGCCCGATCACTGATTCAGTGCACACGGCGACCAGAACACTGACATAGAACGGTTCATAAATACATGTCAGAATTCACAGAGTTTGTGTTCGCGTCAAATTCGAGTGCATTTCATTCCAGAGCAGCGGGCGGATAAAACGAGGGCCATGGGGCTCAGTTGAACACCCAAATAATAAAATCGGAAAATTAGACCAAAATGTACCAAACCACCTATATCGGTACGAACTCCACCACGCGGAAGCAGCCAACTGGAAGGATTGGGGAAAACAGCGCATATTCGACTTTCAGAGCTCAGAACAGACAAAGGGGGGGAGATTATGCGGAGAAAACGAGCAATCAGATCGGATCGGATCGTCACTCGACGCCGGTGACGTCTCAGGGGACGAGGACACGCGGACGCCGACGGAGTGGAGAAGAGAGGCGCAGGGGCGGTCGACGAAGGGGTACCTGGATCTGGATCGCCGCGCGCTCGGCTCGGATGGCGGTGGCGCGCCTAAGAAGGTCGCCTCCGCCTCCGCCGCCGCCGTGAGATCGATCCGCTGCCCTGAGATCACGACGAGAAGAGACGGGGCAGCAGCACGAAGCGTTTGGTGTGATCGGCTTGCCTCCCTAGTCTCCCCTCCCTCGGCGCCTCGGCTCCTAACGCTTACGCTTCCGTTGCTTCGTTTCCGCCTACTCCTCCCTCCCTGTACTCTGCTTTGCCCTCTGCTAGTGCTCGGTTACTGGGCGCTCTTTTCCCAGTTCTTGCTCCGGGCCCCGGCGTCAGCGGCGTTCGCGTGGTGTCGTGTACGCCAGAGCCCAGAAGGGCGGGCGCGCGTCGCGATTGACTCGCTCCTCCGCTCGGCGCGCCCGCGTTGCGTGACTGCTTTGCGCAGGCTGAGGCGCGCCGACGCTCACGTGCAAAGCCTACTACTAGGTCACCAGCAGGCGCTGAGTGTAGGGCCCCTCTGTCGGTTAAGCAGATCTCTTCTGTTTCAGGAATTTTTAGGCCCTTCCGAGCTTTTAGACAGTCTTCTAAAACCTCCTAAAAGAGTGTTTGGTTGCACCTCCTAAAATTGACTAAAGGCAATAAATGTTGTTGAACAAAGACACTTTTACCCTTCTTTAAGGGAGAAAGAGAGGGAGAAGGTAATAAATGAGAGGTAGTGGGGGTCCAGGAATGACTTTAAGAGGTTTTAGGAGGGGGTAGAGCTCCTAAAGAAAAATCAGCCTTCTAAAACTTTTAGGAGGTTTTAGGAGGGGATGTTTGGTTCTTTAGACAGATTCTATCCATATTTTAGCTTCTAAAGCTTTTAAAAAGGGTAACCAAACAGGACCTTAGCTTCGTCTTCGGTAGATAGAGGAGTGACGTAAAAAGAAGATCAAGAAGGGGTAATTAGCCGAAAAAACAGAAAGTGGTAATTACCCAAATACAAAGAAAACATTCATTGAATTGATTATGTACTACCTTTCGCGAACAAGAAAATTTGTCACCTGATAATTATTTGGCAAATAAAAAAGCTGGCATTTTCTGATATGATTAAACTTAGAGAGTGTTTTCAACTAAATTCATGCCACCTAAGAGCCTAGAGGAGGAATCATTCACAGCCACACAATTGCAGCCGTCTTTCAAAAGTACACTTTGTGTCACTCAGTTCTCACTTGAGATTTAATATAAGGCCTTGTTTATTGCACCTCCAAATTCCAAGTTTTTTCACTTTCTCTTCATCACATCAATTTTTAGCTGCTTGTATGGAGCATTAAATATAGGTAAAAAAAAATAACTAATTGCACAGTTTAGTTGGAAATCACGAGATGAATCTTTTGAGCTTAGTTGGTCCACGATTGAACAATATTTACCAAATAAGACGAAAGTGCTTGCAATCTAAACATGGCCTAAACAAGGAATAAAACAACGAAAATAGAGCCAAACCGCCGAACGAGTTGAGGTTAAAAAAATGTCACAAGTTTTAATATATAAGCATGTTTCCATTTGGGAAACTTTCAAGTTCAGCGTATGCGCCCATAAGCACGGTCCAAAATGTTTCATCAACAGAATAATTACAAAAGTTTATAACATCATAAGAAAATATAAATAACTAGATATAGAATAATAAAATAATAACAGCAGAATCATGTGAATGAATGGTGAAAAGTCAAAAGGCAACTATGCATGGTTAACCGAGCACTATGGAAAGCTATAACATTTGTATGGATGTACTAGTATGTATCTCAATTCACGTGCCAACACATGTCATGTTGATCGTGGTATATATGAGTGTAGCCAAACAAGAATGCTTGTATTCGTGTTATGTAGAAACAACGAAAAAACAAAAAAAAACTTTTTTTATTAGAAAAAGAAATGATTTAGCAAATTTGGCGATCACGTATGGGTACTAAAGTTAAACTCTATAGCATCAACTAAAAGATTTGGGTGTTATGTTCAGATTGTAGAGCATGATCATTACCGAAACTTTATGGGTACTAAAATAATTGTCGATGTTTCATCACCGATAGCTTGCCACGGAGGTCCTCGGGGCAGTTTGTTCGGACTTCAGCGTATGCGAAACTCGACGGTAAACGCAAAAGACAGTCGATTTATCCTGGTTCGGGCCCTCGATCGTGGTCGAGTAATAGCCCTACGTCCAGTCGGCGTCAGCCTTTGCGTTGGATTGATTGTTCAGTGTTGTGTTGTTCGTCTCTAGGAACACCGCCCTCCTTTATATAGTCAGGAGGTTAGAGTCCTAGTCGGTTTACAATAAGAGCTCCTAGTATGATTATAGAATAATACTACTACTAAGATTACATGAAAAAACCTAGTTAGACTAGATCTTCTCTCTTCCTTGCGGGGTATCCTGTGGGTCCCATATCGACAAGCCCCGAGCACTTCATGGTTGAGCTCTGGAAGCCTCGTCTTGTTCCTTCAGGTCTTGTCGAGTAGAAACAAACGTTGTCTGAGTGCTTTCTTGAGCGAAACCGTGTAGCGCTTCGTGAGATCTTCGAGTGGTATGTACCTTTTTGAAGAAAAAAGTACTCCCATTTGGGTGTAGCCTCCGAGCCTCTTGCTATTTGGCATAAGGAGCTGAAGGATCTTCTCTTGAAATTGCATCTGATTCTTCGTCGAAGGGCTCCTGAGCATATACCCGGGTTTTTATCAAAAAGAGCTCGGATATAGTTAGGTTCGGGTTCTTTTTGTCGTGAGGCCTTGAAGTGGTCTGTCTTGAAGAAGTCTTTTTGGTGACGTGCGTTTTTTTAAAGAAAAAAACACACTCACTAAGTGTAGCCCCCGTGCCTCTTGCTATTTGGAACAAAAAGTTGGAGGGTCTTGAATCTTATGTTGTTTGAAAACTGTTGTCTTGAAGAAGTCTTCTGAGTGATGTGCGTTGTTTCGAAGAAAAAAGTGCACTCACTAAGTGGAGCCCCCGAGCCTCTTGCTATTTGGAATAAAAAGTTGAGGGTCTTGAATTTGAGTTGTTCAAAGAACTGAAAACCTCTCCTGTTGTAGCCCCCGAGCATTATTCAAAAAAGAACTCGGATATAGGATCTTGGCATATTCTCTATTAGTCTGCTGTTATCAGATGTAGTTGTATGGTGGTGGTTGAGTGTAAATGTCGTTTGTTCACGAGTTGTACAGTGTCGGTATATTCTTCCGAATATGCTCGTTCTTGAGTACTATTCCTTCACGCTTGAGTCTTCTTTCATTGAATTCTGTCTTTTCATTGTGTCCTTTGTTAGGTTTGTTCCGTTGGTGCTCCTGGTCCATGTGCACCGCTTTTTTGGCCTATAAATATCCTCCTTGTGTGCTGTTTTGATTCATCGAGCATTTTGTTGCGTGGTCTAAAATATCCGTAGTCATGAATATGATAGTTTGTGAAGTAGAGCAGCCCCCGGACGTATTTTGTAGTTCTTGTGTATCTTGTCGTAACTGGAGGGAGTCTTATGATAGGGATTAGAGGTAGACTAATCCCACAGCGGCATTGTACCGGGAAGTACGTGGCGGTAGTTGGAGAAAGTCTTGTGATGTGGGATACGTTCCATCATCCAGCAGTTCTGAGTTGATCCTTGCCGCATGCTCTGAGACTGTCTGGTGCAGATCAACACCATATCCAGTATCACATCGGACTTGGGTAGACAGATGCCTGCCGGCTTTCCCTAGTCTATGTTGTTCCGCCGTGCTGCTGATTTCCGCCTTGGATGCACTGCGTTCGTCCTTTGAAGAAAACAGTGTAGCCGAGTGCGTTTGTTCTACCGAGTAGCAATTTAGAACACGTAGTCATTCCAGAGCCTAGCTGTGTCCGGGTTCCTCTTCGCTACCTTGCTTGTCGTAGTACCAAGTTCGTTGGGTCTTATAAGATGTGTAATCTTCTATTTTTTGAAACCATTTATAATGAAAAGAATCTTGTCTTTTGAGTTGTCATTCTTTATTCTGCTGATGTCCCGGTTGTTTATGAGATTTCCGAGTTCTTTCTAAAAGGACTAGGTTGTTGCGTTCCTTGTGTGGTAACCTTTCGTTGCTTTATGACTGATGAGTTCTTTTTGTAGCAATATGATAACCCTGCCGTGTTTCTGGATGGATAAGTCCGAAATCTACCTGTTGAACTCTACCGTTGTGTGGATTTGTGCCGTCCGTCATTTTAGCTGTGTCAGTAAATGGACCATTGCGTTCTCATGTCATGTTAAAACAGGCCCGGTGGGCCGTGTTTTACTGCTATAAAATCTATTTAAAGGTCTTTCTTCTTCTTTTTCTTTATTGCCCTGCTTTTCCTTGAAACCCTAGTCTTCAAAATTCCGCCGCCGTCGTTGTCGCCGTCTGAATCATCATTGTTTCTTAGTTCCTTTTTGCTTCCACTAGTATATGGGTAGGAAGAAATTAGCGAGCAAGTCCTAGGCAGCCTTTGTAGATGAGGAGGCATCACTTTCTGTGATTGAGAATCAGAAATTTATGACCATGAAGGCTGCTCAGAAGATCTG